CCCCCCCCCCCCCCCCCCCCCCCACACACACACACCCACCACCACCACCACACACACACACAAGTCTGTTTGAACTGAGGGATGTTTTAGATGGATCATCAGCTGCCCCTAGACCACGACTTTTGACTCCAGAATGCAGACTCAGACTTTTGACTCCAGAGACACGACCATAGACGCGTTTCTAAGGCCCTCTCACTCACATTTCCTTGCAGAATAACTCCCCGGCAATTGTGAACTGCGTAGGCTCAATGTGGGAGCCGTGGTCATCGTTACAATGGGACTCTTGATGTTTGTGGTGGTTGTTGTGGTGTGCAGGCCCTGGCGAAGTATGCGAAACTCTTGGCAGTAGAGAGTCGGCGTCGACCCGCTGTCTTAACGGAGTTGGTGAAGGGGATTATCGAAGGAGAGGCCCGTATGCTTGCTGCGGCAATGTCCATGGAGGAGATATTTAATCAACGGAAGACATTCAAGGAGAAAATCACACGGAACGTCCAGAACGAGCTCATTCAGTTTGGACTTTTCGTATACAATGCTAATATCAAGCAACTGCAGGTTTGTGGTCGTTCTGTATGCGATATGGCCCAAGTTTTACGGAGCATTTACAGCTCCCTTTTCTTTCCTCTAGGTGAAGGGACAGACGAGTTATTGTTTAAGGGGCCAGGCCAATCATGGTAAAGGGGTGCACTTGCTTTCAAGGGTTAGTCGGACTTAGTCCGCTCTGCATTTTAACTTTTATGTTAGCCATTGCTCCTGGACACTTTCTTGGTCCTTATGCAGGTTGCACCATGTGAGAAATTAAGAATGACTTTTTGGCACTTTTTGCACAATAGAATGAACACCCTGTGCCGCTATGATGAGCATAGTATGACAATCTGAGTGGCATATCAACATCTCGGTTTATGCGTGTCATCCTTGCGCGTAGGGCCCATGCTAATCTTCTCTGTATCATTCCAATTTTAATGGATGTCCCAAAGGGCAGTTGCATATCAACATCTGTTATATATATATCGTCACAAACAGAACTGCCCGGTAAACCGTAGGCAGAGAGAGAGAAGAGGGCAACAAACGAGGGGCTGTGACAAACTGTTTTGTCGGAGTTTATATATATATATATATATTGTTACGGACTTCGCCAGGGCTCGATCCCTGGTCTATCTTTTGCTGTTTCGGCTGCATCCCGTTTTCGGCCTGGCACCCTTTTTCCAAAC